GCGGCGGAGGGTAGGACAGTGCCGCCTCCGCCGGCGGAGGCCCGCGGAAGGTCGGCGAAAGCCCGCGGAAGTAAACAGATGCGCCCCAGCAAGAGAGGGCAAGACGTTTGGACCCAGGGTTTCCGGAATAGGCCACGTCGCGTGATCCTGTCAGCGACAGCGAGTGCGGTCCGGAATTGTGGCTCAGCGCGGCGCTCGGCTTGAGCTGGCCCACCACGCCTCGGCGCGACACGCTATCCGCGTCCCACTCCCCGAGCGTCAGCGTCCCGAGCTTTCCCCACCCTCCCGCCCCACGGAGCGGAGCGACATGCTGTCCGCTCGCATGGCATGGCGTGTCGCTGGGGCTGCCGCGACGCGCCAAGCACGAGTTCTCGACTTTATTTCTACGAGCCGCTTCTTGCACATGCCACCTTTCTGGAACTCCCCCTGGCCGTGTTTGGCGCAGAGGCAGCAGCACTAGATGAGGCGTCCAGGGAAACCGCTGCCCTTCTTGCAACATGGTGTTGGAGCAGCTGAAGTCTGAGGCTTCCTGGGCCGAGGCAGAGAAAGAAAGAAGAGATCCTGGCCATGTTCCGTGCCGGCCGACGCCGAGTCGAGTGGCTGATCCAGGAGGTGACGATGACCAAGACGGGCGATGACCAAAATCGGCACCTACGTTTTCTTTGTCTAGTCTTGGTCACGTGGTCATCGTTTTCTTTCCCTCCCAGGGGGGGGAGGGGGGGGTTTTGGCGCGGGGATGGCAGCCGGCGCCGCGGCGGAGCAGGACGATCCGCTCTCGCGCTCCTCTTGGCGGCCTTTGGCGGCCGCCATCGGCGGGTCCCCCCTCCTATACTTGTTCCCCCTCGTCCTCATCTATCTTATCTTTCTCCCCCCTTTCCACCTCCCCCCTTCTCCCACGTTCCCGCTTGCTCTTCCCCCCCTCCTCCTTCTCCTTCTTCTCTTCCTCCTTCCCCTCCTGCTTCCCCTTCTTCTTCTCCTCCCTCTTCTTCTCCCCGCCATCGATGGTGTTTCTGAACTGTCCTCCTCGCGGTTCCGATGCCTCTCCTGCGGCTTCCTCTTCCTTGCCCTCCTCGTTGTAGGCTCCTGTGTCGCCTCATCTTTTTACATCTCGCGATCGCCTCCGATGCCCACCAAATGGTGAAGTTATTCTGCTGTATCCCCTACCTTCGGGCAAACTTCCATTTTAAGGCGTGCATCGCTTCCTACATTCGTGCAGCTGCCCACGGCTACCCGCCGAGTGTAGGCACTGACGCCCGGGATATCTCATGGTGCGCGGATCTTCCCCTTCTCTTCGCCCTTCTCCTCCTTCTCTCCCTTCTCCCCTCCCCTACCATCATCTCTCCTTCACTCGTCTTCTTTCCACTCCCCTCTCTCCACTCCTCCTCCTCCTCCTTCTCCTCCTCCTTCTCCTCCTCCTCCTCCGCCTCCTCCTCCTCCTCCTCCTCCTCCTCCTCCTCCTCCTCCTCCTCCCCCTTTTTCCTTCCCCTTCTCCACCCCCATTTTCCTTCATTCCTCTCCTGCCATGCCCAACCGCTCCTGCTCCTTCTGCTCCTTCCCTCATCCCTCCCTCCTTCTGTCGTTCTCCTCCTCGTCCCTGTTGCCTTGCAACGGTTCCGACTCCCCTTCTTCCTCATCCTCTTTCCTGTCGCAGCAGTTTTGCTCAACGCATTTGGCAACACCGAACCATTGCTCCTGCAGTACCTGGCCCGCGACCCGAGCCGCCCCAGACCAGCAGCACCGATGGACGCAAATTCGTGGGCCAGCTCGTCGTGCACGAACTCGGACGCCGGCGCGGACCCCATTCGCAGCGGGAGCAGCAGCGCGGCCTCCCAGCGGAAGAAGGCGGTGCGCGCGGGCAGCATGTACGTGGGGCCGGAGATCGGCTGTGCGTAAGAGCGGCTCTGCGCTGGAGTGACTTTCGGTGCGAGCCCACACGGGTCCCCTCAGCGTTGGCTTGTGCGCTTGGACTGGGCTTCCTCTGACCAGGGAGAGACTCGGCCTGGGCCGAGCTCGGCCAGGCTGAGCTCGGCCCGGGCCGGACTCCGCCCAGCCGAGCTCGGCCCGGGCCGAGCTCCGCCTGGCCGAGCTCGGCCTGGCCGAGCTCTTCCTGGCCGAGATTGAGCTGGTGCCCTGCGCGGCCCCGTGAGAGCCGCGCGCTGCCCAGGGGTCACTCCTGCCCGGGGTCACGCTTCTGCGTGCCGCCGAGGAGAGCGGGGCGCCCGCCGCGAAGTTCTGCGCCGCGTTCTCGGGCGGCCAGGGCAGCCCGCCCGAGCAGGGCGCCACGGAGTTCCACACGGTCCCCGAGCGCGTGCTCGCCGACGTGGCCGTGCCGTACTTCTGCCTGCCGCAGCGGGACGACGGCCTGATGGACGTCAGGGGCAACGGTAGGGGGGATGGGCTCAGGGGGGGAAAGAGGAGCAACGTTAGGGGGGGATCGGCTCACGGGGGCGGGGGGCCGGTAGTTTTCGAACGTCTCCGAGGTCCAGGATGGCTTCCATCAGCTGCGCCTCGTCGAGGGCGTTTCTGTGGGCAGCACGAGAGGGGGGAAGGGCTCAGGGATGGGGGTGGGGGTGGGGGTGCATCGGCACCCCAATCGCCCACTGATCACCGCTAAGGTTGTGGAGGGCGATCAATGGAGACGAAGCATGTTGCCAAATAGTTTCCAGATGTCTAAAACATGTGTTATACATGCCTTAAACATGTAAAACATGATTTAAACACGTTTAGAACATTTTCCGACATTTTAAACACATTTTAAATTCAATGATCGGACTGTTAGGGTGTCCATTGTCTTGGCATCCACAACGCTAAGGGCCCGATAGCCCATTCCGCCCATGACCGTACGGTTTTTCAGTCGGGGGCTTATTGCCAATATGTCGGCGATGCACAGCCGATTCCAGGTCGATGTTTCTCTCCCGCCTTCATTGGTCCCTCCCGCGGCCGCCTTCATTGGCCGAGGGGCCGTAATGGAGCCCCCTGTCCTCCTCATCCTCCTCATCCTCCTCCTCCTCCTCGCTCCTCCTCCTTCTCCTCCTCGCTCCTCCTCCTCCTCCTCATCCTCCTCATCCTCCGCCTTCTCCTCCTTCTCCTCGCTCCTCCTCCTCCTCCTCCTCCTCCTCCTCCTCTTCCTTCTCGTTTTCCTCCTCCCCTTCCTTCTTCTCCTCCTCCTTCTCCTCCTCATCTTCCTCTTCTTCTTCCTCTTCCTCCTCCCCTAAACTTCCCCTGAGGACGTCAGCGCTGCCATGCTGCTCACCCACACGCCGCTTCCGAAGGGCTCCTCGGCGTTCTCGTCTGTGCACGTCGTGTCGGCCGCGAGCGGGCCCGCGCGGGCCACCACGGAGATCCTTCGCGAGTCAGCAAGCAAGCTCAGGGGGGGCGTGTGGACCTACGAGTGGCCACAGCTGGAGGCCGGCGACGTGGTGGGCGAGTACGAAGCCTTCTTCCGCATCACTTCTGAGCTCGTCCTCAACGGTGCCGACAGGTCCAGCCTGCTGGTGTTCGTCGCAAGCGCAGGCGACAGCTGCGAGCTCGCGACGGCGACCATCCTGGCAATGCTGCCGTTTCGCGGCGTGCAAGTGGCATTCGTGACACCACGGCTCGGCTACGTGAACCCGCTTGGCAAGCTGACCACGGCGTCAGGATTGTTCGAGTACGACGCCAGGCAGCCCGAGCGTATGGGTCGCTGCCCCGTGGCGGCCATGTTCGGCCCGCTCGATGATCGGTCCTTCCGCTGCGCGCTGAAGCCGTGGCGCCCATTGAAGCCAGACGTCGTCGCCGAGGAGAAGCCGGCCCCATTCAAGATCGGGGCGCTGGAGCTGCCCATGGTCACGTTCGAGGGCCAATACGCGGCCGGAGTGGACCGGCTCGCCTCGCTGCTCGAGGGCCACTTTGGCACCTCGATGTTCCCTGTCGTTGCTGTGGGAGAGACCGTCGACGCGCTCGGCTACGGCTCCGACGTCCTGAGCGCCCTGGAGCACCGCGGCTGCTCTGGCCACTACTTCGCTCACTCCTCCGGCGAGAGCAACAAGACGCCTGAGGCGTATGGCAGCCCCGAGCTCCTGAGGGCGATCGCCGCTGCGAAGGGCGCCGAGAAGCGCGTGGTTGTCATCGCCGTGGGCGGAGGCGTGAACGGCAACACGATGGGGACCGTTGCAGCCATGATCGGAGCAGAGTTCGTGGAGGTGCCTACGACGCTGATGCACTACAACGATGCTACGACGTCGGCCAAGAAGGCTTTCAGCCTTGTGAGGGACGGCCAGATCCTGTCCAAGAACATTTTAGGCACCTTCTACCTACCCCAGTTGGTGTACTGCATCAGCGAGACCTTCCTCACGCTTTGTTCCAGCAGCGTGCACGCAGCCGTGGGTGAGGCCACCAAGACAATGAGCATGCTTGGCAACACCACGTCGACCACAGGGCAGCAAAGCTTCTCCAACATCTTGGGCGGTGTTGAGTTCGCGAGCGACTTCACGCGCATCATGACCGGTGTCGAGGGCTTCGAGCACCTGATCAAATTTATCCGCGACTCCCGAGGGCTCAAGGACGAGGTGCTCGGACTGGGCCGGTTGATCGCCGAGGCCAGGTCCTCGACGCTTCCAGACGCGGAGGTGGCGCGTCTCGCCGCACGGCGCGAAGAGGCGCTGGCCGAGCTCCGCGCACGCTTCCACGGTGGCCTCTCGGCAGGGAGCCGGGAGAGCATCATGTCCTTCCTGACCGTGATCAACGAGGAGATCATCCGCGCCAAAGCTATGTTCCTTGCGTACTCCGACCCCTTCGAGAAGTACCGCGCGCTGCTCTTCGAGTACGCCCACACCCTCGGCCACGGCATCGAGGCAGTGATGAACGGGCTGTACCGCAGGGCGGAGGCACTGAACATGGACTACGAGGATGCCTTCCGCCTGCACGGCCAGTGCGTGGGCATGTCCGTGGTCCTGGCGGGCGAGATGTCCCGACGGCTGGGCCACCTGCAGGGGGACGGCTTCGTCGCTCACCAGTCGCTG